AGCCTGGGGGTCCCCAAGTCAGTGACGGTGATGGTGATGTTGTACTCAGCTTGGCTTTCTCTGTCCAGTGGCTTTTCTGTAACTAGGGTGTAAAAGTTCTTGAATGTGGGTTTCAAGAGAAAGGGAAGATCGTTCTGGATGGAGCAAACCATCCTACCGTTGTCCCCGGAGTCTGGATCAGAAACACTGAAAACAGCAACTACAGTCTCTGGGGAGTTTTCTGGGGTTGTGCTTGAGAGCGTTGACATGGTCAGTTCGGGGGCGTTGTCATTCACATCCACAACTTCTATAGCTACAGTGCATTTTCCTGAAAGGCCCCCACCGTCTGTGCCTGCAATTTCCACGTTATAGTATCGAGTTGCCTCGAAATCCAATGCCTTTTTCAGATGAATTTCTCCTGTTATTTCGTCTACTACAAATGGTTGAATAACTTGATTGCCTTGGAATAGAGTGTAGCGTACATTCCCATATGTTCCTGCATCTAAATCTTGGGCAGAGACAACAACAACTAAGGAGTTTGGGGGGCTGTTCTCCGGGACCTGTACCTCATAGAGCGACTGTAAAAACGCAGGGGCATTATCATTGATGTCCACGACTTCAATACGGACTGCAGTGGTCCCGGACCTAGGTGGATCCCCACCATCCAGCGCCGTAAGGGTTAAACTGAGTTCAGACTGCTCCTCCCGGTCCAGCGATTTGTCCAGCATGAGCTCTGGGTATTTTCTGCCATCTCCGCGATTATGAGTGACAACATGAAAATGGGAGTTGGGGCTGATTGTGTAGTTCTGAACAGTGTTGCTACCTATGTCAAAGTCCTGAGCTATTTTCAAAGGAAATACAGTCCCAGGCTGAACGCTTTCTGGGATTTTGAGGAGCATTTCCTTGTCTAGGAACTCTGGGGAATGGTCATTTATATCTGTGAGCTGCAGATCAGCCTGAAAAAACTGCACCGGGTTTTCCAGTAATAACTGGAAGTACAGTATACAGGGATCTGTCACTCCGCACAGCACCTCCCGGTCTAGTTTTTCATATAGCAGCAAATTCCCGGTTTCTACATCCAGTTCCAAGAGCTGTTTGTTTCCTTTGTAATGGATTCGCGCGCCTCGAGTAGCTAGTTCCCCCACCCTGAGCCCCAGGTCCTTTGCCAGGTTGGCCACAAAGGAGCCACTTTCTGTTTCTTCTGGAATGGAATACCTAATTGAGTCAGAGCCAGCCTCCCACAAAAGCATCAATATAGCAAGAAAGAGAACTTGCCTTTTCTGTGGCGTTTTTGCTAGCGCTGTCTCCATTGTTCAGACCAAATTCATGTGGTGCAGTTTCTTCACCTCTGTATACGGTCGACCCAGATGATTTGGTTAAATAACCTTGAATTAGATCTTTCTGACTGACTCGTCCTAGAATGATGTCCTCTCTGAAGACATCTGCCCCTAGATCTTACCTAAAATACTTCCGTCTTTCAGGAAGCATTCATTATTCTGAGTCCCAGCTTAATGGCGTCCGGCAGTCACAGAGCTTTTCATTCATACTCCTAGCCTGCAGCGCCACCAGGCGTCCTTATTTACTATTGCATATAGTATTTGCCATTTCATTCCAAATTATAACTTGTCATACCAATGTCCTTTTAAGTCACAGAAGTGCGCCCGATCATTTCTCCAGTTCTTAAGTAGTGGAAGTTCTAAAGAAATATCTGTTGGGTTAACTTTCAGTAAAAGAACACTTTTCAGAACAAACTGAAATGATATATTAGTGTTCCTCATAAAATACATTTTGAGAAGAAACTTTCTCTTGTGGGTTTGATTATATTTAAGAAAGAAGTGATAACTGATGTTTACAAAAGTTTACAATTTTTAAAAAGTCACTATTTTGAAATATATATCAGAAAAGGGTACACATTCTAAGTGTACAACTCAATACATTTTCATGAAGTGAGCACACTTGTATAAGTAGAACCTAAATTAAAACTGTTACCAAAACCCTTGAAGCCCCCTTCTGTTTTTGTGTGCTCATTACCCTCCCTGCTAAATGTAAGCATGCTTCTGACTTCTATTATCATAGATTCGTTTCTTTTTTTTAACGTTTATTTTTGAGACAGAGAGAGACAGAGCATGAACGGGGGAGGGTCAGAGAGAGAGGGAGACACAGAATCTGAAACAGACTCCAGACTCTGAGCAGTCAGCACAGAGCCTGACACAGGGCTTGAACTCACGGACCGCGAGATCATGACCTGAGCCGAAGTCATACGCTTAACCGACTGAGCCACCCAGGCACCCCTCTTTTTTTTTTTTAACTTTTATACAAATGGACTTATGGAGTATTTCTCTTTTATGTTTGGCTTCTTTTACTCAACATTATGTTTGTAAAATTCATCTGTTACACACTATCCTAATTAATTTTATTCTCAGTGCTTTATATTATTCTATTGTATGACTGTACTACTATTTGTTTATTCTCCAATTGATTGGGTGCTCCAGTTTGAGGGTATTTTGGATAGTGCTGCTATGAACATTCTTGAACATGTCTTTTAGTGTCTATGGGAGCATTTATGTTGAATATATTCCTACGAGTTAGACTTCTGTGTTATAAGACATGAATATATATTTAGCTTTAACAGATATTGCAAAAGTTTACAAATGTGGTTCCACGAAAACCAGCAAAGAATGACAGTTCCAGTTGTTCCATGTCCTTGTCAACACTTGATATTGTCTTTTAATTTTAACCACTCTGATGAGTGTGTAGTGATATCATATTGTAACTTTAGCAATTCCTTGATTAATTAAACTGAGCACTTTTTTCACAAGTTTAATGGCTATTAGGACACATTCTTGTGAAGTGCTTGTCTTTGGTCTATTTAGGGCATTTGCCTTTTTTTCTTATCAATCTTTAGAAGTTCCTGATTATATTCTGAGTATAAGCACTTTTTCAGAAGTAAGTATGGCAAATATCTTCTCCTACTCTATGGCTTGCATTTTAGTTCTCTTGTGCTATCTTTGATGAAAACTTCTTATTTTTAGTCTAATTTATCAATATTTTTTAATTTATGGTTTTAAGACTTTTTGTGTTCTTGGGGTGGCTCAATCAGTTAAGTATCCCACTCTTGTTTTTGGTTCAGGTCATGATCTCATGGTCTGTTGGAATGAGCCCCTAGTCTGGCTCCATGCTGGGCATGGAGTCTGCTTGGAATTCTCTCTTCTCTCTCTGCACCTCCCACCCCCCCCCCCCGCCGCTCCTGCACTCACTCTCTCTCTCAAAATAAATAAACATTAAAAAAAACACTTTTTTGTGTTCTCTTGAAACCTTTGCACATCTCAAGGTCATGGAAATATTCTTGTATGGCGTTTTTGAACAATCAATTGCTTTACCTTTCACATTTAGAGCTATAGTATTCAAATCGCTTCTCGGCCTTTTGGCTAAGATCAAGTGTAGAGCTATAGTATTCCAGAATTTTTTTCATATGAAGTTAGGGTTACATCATTTTTCATAAAAATATCCAGATTTTGCACTATCCTTTGAGAAGTTTCATTCCCCTTTGTTTTTGAAGTGTCATTTTGTTATAAATCAGGTGACCATAGGTGTATTCAAGACTCTTCTTTCCATTTTTCCCTTAATTTATCCTGCAATACTATATTTTCTTAATTACTATAGCTTCATAATAGTCATTATTATTGGGGCATCTGGCTGGGTCTGTCAGAAAAGCTTGTGACTCTTGATCTCAGGGTTGTGAGTTCAGGCCCCATGTCAGGTATAGAAATTACTTAATAAATAAATCCTCCACTTTCATTCTTTTTCTTCAAGATTGTTTTGGTTCTTCTTGTCCCTTTGCATTTCTATATAATCTCTAGATTTGGCCTGTCAATTTTTACAAAGAAATCTGCTGAAATTTTGTTTAGAATTTTATTCCATCTATAGACTGGGGATAATTGACATATTCCCAACATTGAGTCTTCCAACTATTGAAAATTATATATCCTCTATTTATTTAGATCTTTAACCTTTCTCAATATTTTATAGTTTTTCAGTATATAAGTCTTACACATATTCTGTTAGTTTCTAGATAATTGATATTTTTTAACTATTGTAAATTATACTTAAAATTTTTAATTTTAGGATTTTTGTTGCTATCAGAAATACAATTTATATTTTATGCTACCTTATAACCAGTGGAATTGCTAACTAGTTTATTTATTAAGCCTAATCATCAAGAGATTCTTTACGACTTTTTATATGTACAATCATGTCATTTTTTAAAGTTTATTTAGAGAGAGAGAAAGAGAGAGCACAAGCGGGGGAGGGTCAGGGAAAGGGAGAGACAGAATCCCAAGCAGGCTCTGCACTGTCAGCACACAGCCTGACATGTCGCTCAAACTCATAAACATTGAGATCATGACTGGAGTGGAAATCAGGAGTCAGATGCTTAACCAACTAACTGTCACCCAGGCGCCCCATAGTCTGAAAACTTTTGGTTGTTTAATTATTTAATCTAACCACGATTGATGTAATATTTGATAATTGTCTATTTATATTTACCATCTATTTTTTTCTATTTGTCCCTAAAGTTTTGTTATTTTTAGACTATTCAGATATTTGTTATTTTTCATTTTCCTTCAGTTAGTTTTTTAGTTAATTTTATAGTAATTATCCTACAGATTAAAGCATGTATCTTTGATCTACAAGAGTCTGATACAAACTTTTTAATTTTACTACTTCCATGATCATTCTTAGAAGCTTAGAACTCATCGACTGTATCTATATCATCTTTCCCTTTACATTATTGTTGTCATGAATTTAAATCTTGTATATATTTTAAATCTTTTAAGAAACTGTTTTTGCCTTGTATAATCAATATTAATTTATATTTATTCTTCCTGTTGCTCTTCATTTCTTCCTGCAAGTCTGATTCCTTTAGGACTGTTCTCCCTCTACCCAGTGAATTCTACTAAAAACATTTGTTTTGGTGCAAATGTGATTATGATTAATTCTCTTGGGTTTTATCTGTTTGAAAACTTTATTTTTGAAGGATATTTTCTGATGATACAAGAGTGCTAATCTGGTTTCTTTTTCCCACGACCTTAAAGACCTAATTTCTTTGTCTTTTGGTTTCATGATTTATGTTGAAAAGCCAGCTCTCCATTTTATTGTTGCTCCTTTAAGAGTAATGTGTCATTTTTATGTGGTTGCTTTTAAGATTTTCTCCTTGACGCTGGTCTTCAGCAGTTTTCCTATGATATTTCCTAGTTGTATTTTGTATTTTATTTCTCTCTCTTTTTTTAAAATTTTTAATGTTTATTTTTGAGAGAGAGAGAGAGAGAGAGACAGACATGGGAGCATGGGAGGGGCAGAGAGAGGAGACACAGAATCTGAAGCAGGCTCCAGGCTCTGACCTGTCAGCACAGAGCCCAACACGGAGCTGGAACTCATGAACCGAACCATAAGATCATGACCTGAACCAAAGTCAGAGGCTTAACCAACTGAGCCACCCAGGTGCCCCTGTATTTTATTTCTATTGACTGGGTTTCCCTGAGCATTTTGAGTGATGAAGGATTTGTACAAATTCTTCATCATTATCTCTTCAAACATTGCTTATTCTTCATTCCTAGCATCTCTTCTCCTTTTAGGATTACAGTCCTATGTATATTAGAGTTTTTCATTATGTCTCACTTGTCAATTATGTTCTTTTCTGTATCTTTCTTTCTTTTTTATATGAAATTTATTGTCAAATTGGTTTCCATACAAAACCCAGTGCTCATCCCAACAGGTGCCCTCCTCATTGTCCACCATCCACTTTCCCCTACCTCCCATCCCCCAACAACCCTCAGTTTATTCTCAGTTTTTTAGAGTCTCTTATGGTTTGCCTCCTTCCCTCTCTGTATTTTTCCCCCCTTCCACTCCCCTATGGTCTTCTGTTAAGTTTCTCAGTATCCACATAAGAGTGAAAACATATGGTATCTTTCTCTGTATGACTTATTTCACTTAGCATAACACTCCAGTTCCATCCACGTTGCAACAAAAGGCCATATATGTTTCTGTATTTTTCAATATTTTTTCCTATGCTGCTTTTTGGATATTTTATATTGGCCTGTCTTTCATTCATTAATCCTGTATTCCTTTATATCTACTAAGTCATAAACTACCTTAATAGCTTTTAATTTCAGATATTATATTTTTCTGTTCTGTAATGAATTTCTATTTTAAATATCAATTCTCTGGTGGAATTCTCTTTTGTTTTCTCTATTCTTTTTTTAAAAATTTTTAAAAATGTTTTTATTTATTTTTGAGACAGAGAGAGACACAGCATAAGCAGAGGAGGGGAAGAGAGAGAGGGAGACTCAGAAGCTGAAGCAGGCTCCAGGCTCCGAGCTGTCAGCACAGAGCCTGACTTGGGGCTCGAACTCACAGAGTGTGAGATCATGACCTGAGCTGAAGTCGGACACTTAACCGACTGAGACACCCAGGTGCCCCTATTTTCTCTATTCTTTACAATCTATTAGTCATACTTATTTTAACATCATTGTCAGTAAATTCTAGTATCTGTTTGTATTGTCTGTTTTTTCTCTAGGTTTTTTTCATGTCAACCAGTTTTTTTGTATGTCTTCCTAGTAGTTTTTTTTATTGAATTCTCAATATTTATGTAAAAAGCTGTCCAGGATCCAGATGATATTATCTTTTTCCAAAAAGAGTTCACCTTTTCCCATTAACTTGAATCATGTGAAATCCAATTTCCTTAATCCAAACAGGCACTGTAATTAGTCAAGCTGCTCTGCAGTCCTAATAACACCTAACCCTCCAGCATTACCAGTTCAGAACTTAGTGTACTGTCCACAGTCCCTTCCCATGGCAGTTTCTAAACCCTAATCTTGATGCATCAAGACTATCAAAAGTGCACTCTGCTATTCAGCGATTTTTTTTAACTTAGGTTTTTAGTCTTCTAAAAGACTAAATGGAATGTCCCTGAGTTTGACAAGTATCCTGAGGGGAAAACTGGCCTTGAGCTTGAATCTTCCAGTCTGCGGAAGGCTAATGAATGTGCTCTACCCCTAGCAAGAGCCTTTTGTCTGTTCTAAG